TCCCTGCTGTCCCTGACGTAGACTCACAAGTAGCTGGTCAGCGGATGGTGCTCCAGGCGCTGCTGCTGTTTACTCAATGACCTCTGGCAAGTCTTTGCGCGTTCTGATACCAGATTTTTCTATGCAGGAACGCTCAAGTTCCATCTTTGCGAAGGCAGCTGCAGGACCAGCTGGGGCTTACAGCAAAAACGGTGGGGGGAGTTGGACTCGGGTCAAGTGCCCTGCCAAGCAGCGGGGTACTGGAAGCTCTCCCACCACGGTACCCAGCACACCCCCCCAGGCTGCTGTTTTGCAAGGGGACTCCTTCCCCTCTGGTCTGACCAGCTCCCAGAGGTGAGAGTGGGGAGGCCTCTTCCCCACCTGCATCAGAGCTGCAGCCGTTCGCCCCTGCAGCCCCCCTGCCGTTGGGCGTGGGGACCCCGGGGTCTTGCAGCACAGGTCACACCAGCAAGCTTGGGAGGAGGAACCAGCCCTGCAGCAGGAACGCACAGCTCCAGCCAAAACATGCCGTTCCCTGTAAAAAAAGCAATCATGTGGAAAACAGCAGCTAATGAAGAGGTCTCTCTTCTGCACAAAGAGGGAATGGATAAAACAGACCCTACAGCTAGGGTGAAGGAATTGTTTTTGTTGTAAAATCTCCTTCATAATGTCTCCTAAGTGAAAACCAACCCCAAAGCATGCAGACACTGTTGGAAACAACAACCCTTTCCACTCACTACAGTTCTCCCTGCCACCAGTCCAGGGTAGGACAGCACAGGCTGCAATGTAAGGACCACAGTATCCCAAAGGAACATAAGGACTGCTCTGTAAGGTACCAAAGGATGTGTCTGAGGCAGGCACAAGACACAAACGGTCCATGGTCAGGGCGCTAACCTTCCCACCTCATTTTCCACGGATCAGGGTCAGCTGGAAAAGCATTTGTGCCTGTCCAAAGAATTGCACTGCTGGCACGGTGGTACAGCAGCACTTCTCAGGGTGGCATGCTGGTGCCTGCACTGGGGGGAGTTCAGCGCCACCTAGGAATTCTCCCTAAGGACACGCTCCTGACAGAGATATTGCTGAATCAGCAAGGACAGGGCTCAGGAGGCTGTAGCAGCAGCTCCCAAATTCAGCAGCTCGAAGCAGTTCTTTAATACAGTAGGATTGCTGTGAAGCCTTCATCCTAAGCGCATCCATTTTCCTAGGCCCTCAGCCCAGCTTTAAAGCCAGACGTCGCCTCTACCAAGCAACTGCAAAACAAACTTGCTCAGACCTGGTACCAGAGGGATTTCGAGTCCTGAGGTGCTGTTGCAGCACCAAGGTCCTTCTGTGGGTGGCAGCAGCAAAGGCAAGATGGGGCTGGGAGAGAAGGCCAGAGGTACTGGCAGGACTCTGCAGCAGCAGGAGTGAAGCCTGCCCTAGCAGGCACAGCACAGCTGTTCCAGGCTCAGAGTGCCGTTAACTCACTTGCCAGCTGGCAGGAAAAGGTACCCAACAGCTCAGTGAGACCTGCAGCCCCCCTGAAGATCGGCACGGCCCCTCTTCATCCATCCTCTTGTTCCCTTGCAGGTGGAGAGTAGCCAAAGGCGTAAGCAGGATGATTTTTGTCCCTTCTGCTGGGTGTGTGATCTCAAAACCAGGCTACGCTTCAGGAGGAAAAACCCAGCTTGGCTTTCTGGCTCCCACCTGGAGAGACCAGGGCCCACAG